GCTCTCTATAAAACCCTGCCTGGCCTGGAACTTGTTACATAGACCTCTGCCTCTGCCTCCCAAAAGCTGAGAAGTAGCCAGGCCTGGCTCCTTCATAACCTTTGATTCCTATAACAGAGAAAATCCTATCCCTTACACACTTAAAAGTATACTGAACTGGCTGAATAGCATCTGCTGAAGCTGTTACATGGGGAATAACAGTGTCTAAGACAAGGCTCACTTTTAGGGGCAGAAGAAATAATGTTGATCCACAAACCACCACAAAGGCATAAGACAGCATGAACCAGGCTCACAAAAGTGTAATAACAAAGTATAGGGAAGGGACAGAGGTCAGCTGTGACAGTAAGGACAGCATACAAAAGAAAGCGATATTTGAGCTGTGGCTTGAATGAGTTAGGAGGGCACACAACTCAAAAAGCAGTGCTACCCATCCTTCCCAGCAACCATTTGCTTTCATCCAAACACTTCTACAATTAGAACCGAGAGTGACATAAGACAGAGGAGGCTAACCAAAGGGAAAGAGAATCTGTTCCTAGAGCATGGCTTACTTTTCAGCCTTTGATATAAAGAAATGTTGAATCATTAGCTTTATTCAAATATGGGCTGAAGAGTAAACTGGAAGGCATCTTTACACAGAGGGAAAGCTTTTAGAAGACATTTCAGCGAATGTGACATGAGTTTGCCTATGATACATTCTTCTACCTAAAGTTGATCCTCTAGTAGGTATTTCTGGGAATCACCAAGCTCGCTGGAAGGGTCCAGAAGCACCAAGGAAGAGATGAGTCGTCAAGTAGGAGGGGATCCACAATCACCCTGTGCCTGCCTGACCCCACTCTGATATACATCAAACTTTTCCACTTCAAATTCTGAAGAGTGTTCCACACTTAACACATCCCAAACTGGCGTCAACATCCGCACCTTCTCCCGGGTTCTCTAGTTCACCAAGGAACACACCGGAAATGCTTGAGTCCTCCTCTAGCCATCTTCTTCACTCCTCCACAGCAGCCACTTGGTTAAGAATGAGTGTGTGCCAGTCTCCAAGCTAAGTGCTCTGTAAATATGTTCTCATTTGCTCCTTCCTTAAAATTCCTATGAGCCGGGACTCTTATCTGCCTCAGAAAAGATTGTACTCAGAAAAGATCCTCACAAAACTCTGTCCCACGACGGCCTTCCTCCCTTCAAACCATTCTGTTTTAGTGTTTTGCAACATCTTACTATCCTCTTGGTTCCCACCACTACTTAAAAACAAGTCTAACTTTTCACCATGGGCTGTAAAATCTCCAGCTCTGAACCTCAAATAGTTATTCCTTAAATTGCCAAAGAGGAAGTTCCAAAATTAGTTCCAAACCTCAAATGCCTGCACGTGCCAGGCATTTGCCCTGAAGGATGTGAGCACATGCTTCTTCCATCCGGGTTGCTGCTTAACAAACTCTAGCCCCCGGGTTCCCTAAAGTGATGCCAAGTTACTGATTTTCAACACTGTCTGTGAAATCCATGTTTTATGTGAGACACGTGGAATTTCAAAAACAAGCTAAAACACCCTGACCAGAAAGAAACCTTTGTCTTAGGTTTGACTCATTAGCACCAACTGATATGCTCTCAAATAGTATGCAATTTCCTTGATTAAAATCTTTACTTTGGTTCTTTATTACCTTGTGGTCAAGGCTAATCTACTTAATAATCTACTTGATATGACATCAAAGGCTCCCGGAGACATTCCTACTTGTTTCTCTTATCAGACATCCTCCAAGCACTTATCCCACAGCTGAACTGCGATTCTTCCATTTCCTGGAATGTGCTCATTTTCGCTTCTGAGATCTTTGTGCAGTTAGAAACTGTCTTCCAAGAGTGCTCTTCATTTGCCTTATCTGTCACAATTTAGCTGCGCCATCACAACCCATCACTCCTGGTCTATGGCGTTGTCTACTGAGAGGCACACTCACAGTTATCCAACAACAAAATACATCACATTACAATACACCTCTCTCATCCAGTGTTGTCATGATCTGTGGGTCTCAACCACTGATGCTGAGCAGAATGAAAGTCTGGACCTTCATTCCACCGGAAAAACGTCTGCACTGGTGAACTCAAGATCGAGCGTGCACTTCCTCTCAATACATGTGTGTTGAACAGATGAATTAACTGAACACCATGTAGCCTTTGAACTGCTCATGGCTCCCACTCATCAGGGAGTACCCTGAACTCCCTCAACTCTTTTGAAAAGTGTCATTTATTATTATCGGGGAGGGGAGACACACATGTGAGGGTATGAGTGCCATGGTACGCATGTGGAGTCAGTTATTTTCCTGTCTACATTTATAAAGTATTGTTATAAATAAAATGTTGTTGGGCTAAATGTTATTATTTGCCCTATAATTATTGTGGTGGCATTATTTAACCTGCTACCATGATTTAAAAGACACAGACACTTATTAGATTTTATAATTGCCTTATTTACCTTGGGCTGGGCAGATATTCTACCTACACTGTCTCAATAACCTCATCATCCACTTCTCAGCCCCCATCCAATGCCATCTGCCTTAATCATTCTTATCTGGGTTACCTTCCATCCATAATCTTAAAGAGAGTTGCTTATATTCTTCTTCTAGGCTTTTTCACGCCATTATTGAGTCCTTCCTCTGAGCTCACCTGGTTCTTTCTCCATGTTAACTCATCGTGACATCCTTTTCCTCTTCTCTTCCCATCTGTCTCTTTCCTGTGATTCTCCCGAACCCAAAGATGGGGAACCTAAGCCTACCCTATTATGTTCTGCCCAGGTTTTAGGCCTTTTAATCAACCAATCAGGAATAATATCTTAGGCAGGTTAACACAACAAGGATAGGGCAGTAACCAGATCTTGAGGGCCAGTAACTAGTATCAAAATATAAGCATCAGACCAACCCCCAACAATAAAGGTTCTGGGTCACCTGCCAGGTGGTATGAGACATTGAGACATCTTGTCTGTACACTCAACACTTTATCCCTAACTTTTTTTTTATAAAAGGAATAAAGACCAATCATCTTACATGACTGAGTCCCTTGAGACAAAGGTCCAAGCTCTGTTCATTTGTATGCATCCCTGGCTCCTAACTTTAGCTCCCAGTAAAGCATAGTAACTGTCCATGCTAAGGTTCCATAGCTCAACTCTATTTTCTTCTACTTATTTCAAGAGCAAGCACTGTGAGCTAACCAAAACTGTTCCACTGAGGGTTTTCTGCATAGACATTATTCACAACATGGGAAAGAAGTAGTGCCAACCGAAAACAGCACTCCAGTAGAAAAATTTCCTACTCCCAATTAATTCATAGTTGCAAAAGATGGACATGGCAAATGAAAGGCAACTTAAACATGTTCTGCTCTTCATTCTACAATTCAGGGAAACACAGCTCAGAGCTCTGTTTGTGATCTACATGCAGACCGACACATCCATCAAGAACTGTTTAAACACTAGTTGACATGACAATGTAGATAGGGGAAATAGCACAGGCGCCCACCCCTAGATCAAAAGCTGCAAGCAAATAATGACTACTGAGAGAGGGAGAATTGTCTTTTCCCAAAACATATTCATACAAGCAACACTAAATAGACTCATTAGGTTGCATTTATATATTTATTTACATATACATATGTAATAATAATTAAAGAAAAAAGGTGGGGGATAAAAGAGGTTGGAGGAAGGAGAAAAATGTAATTATATATTGTCCTAGAATTGGATCTGGCAGTTTACACCTGTAATCCCAGCATTTGAGAGGGCAAGACAGGAAGATTCAGAATTTGATATCAGCCTGCACTATACAGTGAGTTTGTTTAATGCTGACATGGGAGTACATGGAGATACCTGGTTATGGATGCTGGAGGAAGAGAGAGAGAGAAAGAGAAAGGGGGGAGGGAGAGAGAGACGGAGGAAAAAAGAGAGAAGAAAAGGAAAGGGTAGGGGAAGGGAAAGAAAAGAAAAGGAAAGGGTAAGAGAAGGGGAGGGGAGGGAAAAGGAAGGGAGGGGATGAAAGGAGAGAAGAGGAAAGCAGAAGTGAGGGAAGGGGAGGGGAGGGAGAGGGAAAGGAAGGAGAGGGAGAAGGAGAGGAGAGAGGAGAGAGAGGGAGAGGGAGAGGGGAGAGGGGAGGGGAGGGGAGGGGAGGGAAGGGAAGGAAAAACTGTCCTGTAAGCAAGAAAAAACTGTCCTGTAGGCAGCATTCAGCTATGGGCAGAAATCCACCCCAAAAAAGTTCTATCAATTTTCTCACCAAATGTTCTTATTGAAATCCTACCTTTAAAATGTCTCCAGTGACATGGGATGGGCTTCTTCATCAACCACCTTGTGTCGCCTCCTTAGAACTGACTGCAGATTGTAATTTGGTATTGTCTCACCAATTGCTCACTAAATATGTAAACATCTTGCCAAGTGACCTTACTCCCCGCTCAAATGTTTTAACCAAGGAATACTTTTTCACCAAAGCATCAGGATGATACCTTCATCCTGATGCCGACAATATACAATCAATATACATCTTGTTATTTAATACAGTAAAAATATTTCTTACCTGAACGGTTCCATGGAGAATTAGTAAACATGAAACACAATTCCCACAGGTTAGTGATGGGCCGGTGTTAGTAATTTCACTTGGTAGACTTTTGTTTTTTCTACATTTGCTTCTTTAAATATTAAAATTTTAAACTGTCCTTTAGGTTAGAATGGAGGTCAGTTTATTAGATTTGTAAAACAAGAGGGAGAAATAAAAATCAAAAAGAAAAAGTTTAATAACTCAGTTAAAGTCACCTTAGGATAACTAAAAGGGGGGAAATCCCAAAAGAGCAAAGCAAAACAAAACAAACAAACAACAACAAACCCCCCACATTTCTGTGGAATAGAGTTCCCCCAAATAAGCCACTCAAAACCAAGTAACGTTAAGCTTTGCTCATAGCTTTATAGAGTATCATTTAGATGTTACGGCTTTCAAGACATATATTAGCCAAAATTATGTCAAGAAATATGTTCATCTAACCTTTGAGCTGGCACCTTATCCTTGCTAGTCTCTGCCTTAAGACGTAGAAAGCTGCAAAACAAATGGCCAAAAAAAGAAATTCCAGATCTTTCCTCTGTAAGGAGGCAGGGTATGACCAACTTGTTACATTCCCGGAGACTTACACATATTCAACTTTCAGTGCTTTTCTGAAACAACAAAAAAAAATCTAGGACATGTTTAAAATAGTATTTTAGTCATCATTTTGTTATTTGAAAACACTTTGTAACAAAATATTAAGCAATAATTGAAGTTACACTATTTTTCTATAGTGCAAGTTCTTTTAAAAACATTTTTAAACATTTTTTTTTAGTGTGTGTGGGGTGGGGCGCGCACAGGTGCACTTGTACCACAGTGTAATATGGAGATCAGAAGTCAGCTTGTCAAAGTTGGTTCTCTCCTGCATTCATGTTGGTCCCAGGATTCAAACTCACGTCCTCAGGACCAGCAGCAAGCACCTTTACCCACTGAGCAACACTGACAGCCACCTATATTCCAAATGCTAATGAAATATTTCAGAGCTTTGTGAATACTGTATCTTGCAATATTTAATTTTCAAAACTTTAATTGTTTATTCTTAGAGTCAGTATCTTTTTATTTAAATGAATTTTGGACAAAGCATCTGAAGAAAAATTTAAAACTTTGGCTCAGTCAATACCCAGCTGGTAGTGCTTACATTGATCTGTTCACTTACCTTTTCCTCATATACTGTATGTTCCCTTTTCTCTCCAGCTTTGGGAAAAACATATTAAAGTTTGTTTTCTTCCCTCTCACAGCACTGTCTTCTTGCACGGCTGCTTTGGTTGTCAATAGCAACAAGAATTAACTGCAAAACCTTGGCCATTTCTCTTGGAGATGCATAAACATCCAGTTAAATGAAAGTTAAGGGAAGAAACTCAAAACACTACAAGCAAAGGTCAGTGTTGGACCAGCCTAGAGTGCCAGGGGTGAGAGAAGAGATGGTTTCCTTACTTCTCATTTGGATGAATGCCTTCCCTCTTTAGAACATAATGTAACCACTTTAATATATGATCATTTTGGGATTTGTCTAATTTAATGGAGTCTTTGGGGAGGGGCTAACAGAAGAGAAAAATACAGGTCTGATTTGACTCAATCAAAGGATCATTTAACTGTTCATCCAGAATGATTACAAAGTATTATTAAAGGCAAGCATTACATTTGATTGGCAGATTTTTGTTTTGTTGTTTATATGTGATGTGATGTGTGTGCATGCATGTGAATGTGGGGTATGTATGCCTGTGTGAGCACATGCGGAGGCCGAAAGAGAAGTCTGGGTGTCTTTCTCTATTGCTCTTGGCCTTATTGCCTTGAGATAGAGTCTGTCTATCTATCTATCTATCTATCTATCTATCTATCTATCTATCTATCTATCTATCTATCCCTAGTTTTTCAAGTAGACCAGGCTGGCCTCAAACTCACATTGATCTGCCTGTCTCTGCTTCCCAAGGGCTGGGATTAAAGGCATGCACCATACTGAACTAGAAGCTGGCTAGGCTGGCTGGCCAGCAAGCTACCACCTGGATCTGCCTGTTTCTGCCTCCTAATAATGCTGGAGTGAGAGGAGCACACAGTCACACATGGCTTTTTTTTAATGAGTGCTGTGGATTCAAACTCAGGTCCTCCTGCTTGCACTTACCCACAGAGCTACCTCCCCAACCCTGTTTGCTACATCTTCTTTCACGTTGCTTATGTTTATAATTTGCATTTTGTTTTCATTGCCTCTAATTTAAAAAAAAATCACCGTATCTTATAAGACCCATTTACTTAAATAGAATAATGAAATGCATCAAATATCATCTAAAACCTTGAAAAATAAGTCAAAGCATTAAAAAACATTCTGCATGGCATATTCAGAAGCTGTGTTTATACCCATAATTGTTCATGAGAAAGGAAATGTAGGGAAATATTATTTCTTTAATATATCCATAACCAATTTTGAATATTTTATCTGCAAAAATATTTTAAATTATTTTAAACAAAAGAAAAAGAAGTCATTAAGGGATAGAAGACAACACTATTTCCAAGCTAGCTGTAGGAGTACCACACAGCCCCACAGTTCTGCATAGGCCAGTTCCTTATACTATCTTAAGGTTGGACGGCAGTCTTAATTCACATGAGTTAACCTGGATATATTGATTTGGTAAATTGATTGGCTTCAGGTTGCATACCTCTCAAGGCTTCTAGCTTAAATCTCAGCCAATGTCCCTTATTCTAAAATTCACATTTTAACACCACAGAAAACCTCTTCCTAAGTTAAAGGTATATTAAACATGAAATAGACGGCTTACAGTAAGTTTCTGGGCTCTATGTTCTGCTGATGGATAAGGACATTTTCATAGGCAACCTCCACCACAATTTTTAAAAAGTTGCCAAAAATACATTCCCTGTGTGTTCCTTAGTGTAGTGTGAGAAGCTGCAGAACGGAATTCATTAGGAACACATAATGCAGGAAAGTCTGTCCCACTTTCCTCCTGATGATTTGTTTCTCCACAACTATTGCAAAATAGTTGTGGGAGTTAAGTACAGTCAACATTGCCAGCAATGCCACTGGTTTATAGTTCAGGATCTGAGTAGCCTTTTCTGCTTCAGTTCGCCTGGGACTTCTGCAGACAGTGCTGAGCATCAGACAATGTTAAGGATGAGGAGGAGACGTACTTGTGTGGTAAAGTGTGTGCCCAGCCTGTGTGTGAGCCCTGGGCTTCGTGTCGAGCAGTGGAAAACACTCTTCACAGCCATGCATGGCGGCATGCACTTGCCATACCAGCATTCAAGAGGAAGAAGTAGAAGGATCACATGTCTGAGGGCAGCTTTGACTACGTGCTGGGGACAGTGAGGGGAAGAAGGAAAGAAAAGGAGACGACAGAAGTCAGACGAGGGATAAGAATACAAACCCTTGTGGTAATACCCACTCACACTCACAGTGCCTAGCTTTTTGTTTGCAGTTTGGTTTACTGTAAAGGGTTGTGAGCCACCCAACTGCTGGGCCATTAAAAACCTTTGAAAAGGAAACTATTAATAAAGTACTACAGGCTGGTACAATTACCACATGAGGCAGCCTGGGGCACAGAGCCCCTTAGACATGTGGCCCAACAGGCCAGGTGCCAACTCCTCACCGTGACAGCAGTGAGGGACAAGCATGAGAAGAAAAGCCACAACACTTTACACTAGTTCTAGCTGCCAAGTCCTAAGCATCAGCTACAAAGACTACCAACTCTAGAGAGCTCTCCATATCCCAACCATAAATTTTATAGTTTTCATTGTCAAAAACTTGGCATTAATCTGGGAAAATCTCTTCACAGTCAATTACCCAACTTGGCCCAGTTACACACAAACATGCAGGGTGACAGACAGCAGAACAGAGGCATTTAAGAACCTGGAAGAACCCAGCTTCCATGACTACTAAAGATAGACAATTCAGTAGCTCAGAGACTAGGGCGTTTCGCAAACCTATACGTTGTTTCTTTGTAATTTTATACTTTTCTTTCCTAAAAACCTGTTTTAAACCCCAATTTTAAGCAAAAAAAAAAAAAAAAAAAAAAAAAAAAAAAAAAAAAAAAAAAAAAAAGAAAAGAAAAGAAACTGTATGTTAGAATTTTTAATCCGTAGCCCATGGAGATAGATACTGAGACACAGTGAGTAGTTTAATTCATTCATCAATTTCAAATCCAATCTGAAGAAAACTCTCAAAATACCATAAAATGTAGAAAATGGTGTAATTATCCAATAAAAAAATATTAACTAATGTAAGTAGATATCAAAACAGAAGATATTAGAGAAGTTTGGATTGTGGGTAGTTTTTGAAAGTCTAGAGGCTGGAGGGATGGCTCAGTGATTAGGAGCACGTACTGCCCTTGTGAAGGACATGGTGGGCTCCCAACATCCATAATGAGTTGCCCACAGCCGCCTGTAGGCACAGGGGATCCAGTGTATTTTTTCTAGCCTTTGCAGGCACCTCAGTGTACACTCATGTGTACATGCCTGCCCTGCCTCTCCTCCCCACACATATTATTAAAAATTAAGACAAAAGGGGCTGGAGAGGCAGATCAACAATTAAGAACACCAGCTGTTCTTCTAGAGGGCCCAGGTCTGATTCTCAGCTTCTACATGACAGCTCACAACCTTCTGCTACTTCAGTCCCAGGAGATCTGATGCTATCTTCTGGTCTCCATGGACACCAGCCAATGAACTTGATGTAGACTTACATACATTTAAAACACTCATACTCATACACACACTATATGTAACTAAAATTTATTTTTATTATGTATATATATAAAATAAAAATAATCTTAATTTAAAAAAAAGAAAACCTATAAAAGAACATGAAGTTGGGCAGGTAGGAAAGATTTGAGGAATTGGAGGAGAAAAATCATGATCAAAATATATTGTATAAAAACTTTTTCAATTAAATAAAAAGAAAAAAAAATCTATGGATAGGAACAGTTACTGTCAACCTAGCAACACATCTTTTGCCACTTAGGGAACTCACTGAAATTAAATTTGGCAATTATCATTTATGAAAATAAGATTAAAGGTTGTTGGTTTTGTGACTTGTTTCTGTTCTGTTTTGTTTTGACAGCTCTGGCTGCCCTGGAACTCACTCTGTAGACCGGATGGCCTTGCACTCATGGCAATCTGCCTGCCTCTGCCTCTTGAGTGCTAAGATCAGCAAAGTATACCACCATGACTAGGAAAAAATAACACTGATTTCACAAAGTATATATTAGTCTAGGAATTGCTGAGTGCTTTTTTTTTTCCTTTTGTGTACATCATCGCAAATTTAAACTGTGATGAAATAGCTCCTAACGTTTCAGAGTCCGTGGATAATGTCCATGGAAGGCAATGCTGGCCAGCCACAGGATCTAATCATGCTTTAGCAGGAAAACAGCCAGTTTTGGAGAACTTATGACATTTCTCCACAAAACAGCCAAGGAGATACTGACCAAATTGAGTATTTAGCTCTAAACTTTAACAACAACAACAAAAAAATCATCTATATCAAATGCTTAGTT